CGGGAGTGGGGTACAAGGCCTAGTGGGTTTAGAAAGAGCGCTTTGCCTGTGACAGTCCTTGTACAGGGTATGATGACACAAGCGTGGTAGGCAGGGGTCATGAGGAGCAGGAGGCCCAATGAGTTGGAGGGGTGCACCTCATCCCATGGGCTTTGTGTTTTAAATGAGGACACTAAAGCGCAGAAAGGGGCAGGAGCATAGCTGAGGTCTGTGTTCAGGGCTCATGAAGTCCTAGGGCACAGCAAAGCCATGGCTGGAGCTTAGGGCTCACAGGTCACGGTATAGCTGGGTCAGGGCAGTGTGTGTCCCTGCAATGGTATTTCACCTGTGAGCTATTATGAAGCACTGCCTGTGGCCCTGCCAGCCTGTTTGAGGGGACTTGATATCCTTGCGGAGATCCTGTCTGGGAGGGGCCATGGGGGAGCAGAGTGGCTGGGGGAGGTACTCTTCACACCCCCTCCTCCTGAGCCTTCGGATGGCCCCACTCTCCACTCTGCACTGGTGTCTCCCAGCTCTGCCACCAGGCAATGCAGAGCCCAGCACTGAGCTCTAGGGGGAGATTATCTGGAGGGTCAGAAGGACTCGGGTACAAGAGAGGGGTCACAAATGCAGAGCGCCCAAGGCTTGGGGGTAGGGTGGGGTGTAGTCAGGAGGGCCCTGGGCCATGTGCTCTGTTCTGTCCTGGGGTTCGGGGTGGAGGAACGACCTCATGGTAGGCAGCTCCAGGGGAACAAAAGCAGAGGAGGGTGTGGTGCTGGGCACAGACTGGTGGGTGGTGGGCAAGGCCTGGTCATGAATGAGATGGGATTCTCCCAAAGTGCTCCTAGGCTGGAGCCTAGGAGGGTCAGGGTCTCCCAAAGTGCTCCTAGGCTGGAGCCTAGGAGGGTCAGGGTCTCCCAAAGTGCTTCTAGGCTGGAGCCTAGGAGGGTCAGGGTCTGCCTGGGGCCATAGGGTCCTGAGGAAATGGGGTGCAGGCTAGGGGTGGGGACTGGGGAGGGTGGGAGTGCTTGGGAGGAGTCCCCTCCTCCTCCTCCTTCCCCAGCCCCTTCCTTTCCTCATGCCCTCCCTTCCCCTGCCTCCGACTCCTGCACCTGGACCCACCCCTCCAGGTCAGAAGTCCCTGGCCAGCATTCAGCCTGACTGGCCAGCTTTCTGAGACTCCTACTGGGGAGGCAGGGAGATGCCTGGAGCCAGCAGGTACAGGTGGGAAACCTGGCCCCCCCCCCCCCCGTGGACAGTGGGGGCCTGGGATTGGTTCCACAAGGATTCCCAAAGAAACTGGGCACATAGACCAGAGGGTGGTTAGGCCCGCGCAAGATCTGACGTTGTCTTCATTTCTTCCATGGGGTCCTCTAGGATCCATGTGGACTCATCCTTGCCTCCTGGCCCTCAACCAGGGTATTATAAGTGGGGATACAGGTCCCCTAGCATGCATAGCCCCCCAGGAGGTGAAAGTAGGGTGCAGTAAGCATAGCTCTGCTAGGACGTGAGAGTGCGGTGCAGGGAGCCCGGCCATGCACCGCTTTCCAGGAGGTGGCCTTGAGTGCAGGGAAGGCTGAGGCTGAGGCTAGAACTTGCCACAGCCAGGCCCAGCCCCGCCTTGGTGTCCAGGCCTGCAGGAAGCCAGGGTGGGCTCCCGAGGTGACATTTCCTGCTATTAATGGGGTTTAACCTAAACAAACCCTAATATTTACCACCAGACGCCTCCGGCCTTGGCTGTGCCAGACAGGGACAGTGATGAGTGCATCCAGCCGTCCCACCGGCCGCTTCCCCAGCCGAGGCCAGCACTGGTGGTGCATGGACAGGCTGGACACCAGGCGGCCCCAGTGGAGCCCCCTAGGGCCGACCCCGGTCCTGTGCCTCCGTCTGTGATGACCTTAAGACTGGGGCACCTGGGAGGCCCACACGGGGCTGCCCCGCCTCCTGCCTGCAGACCAGCCCCCTGAGGGGTCTGCTACTCCACCTCTCAGTCCCCTCCTTGGCCAGCCAACATGGGACCAGGAGGGCGGAGGGGCACCATGCTGCTGATTTGTACCCATGGACATTGGGCGGGGGCACCCAGAGCCCCCAGCTTGGCACCCCACACCAACCCTGCCTCACCTTCTGGGAGCTACACTGTGGGCACCGGGGATAAACAGCGTTAATTCAGGCTGAGCGTTTCTCCTTATGGGGATTGTTTACATCAGATATAAATACACCATTTCACGTCACTCCGGCTCTCTGAAAATCCGGGAAGGGAGGACACACCAGGGGACACAGACCTCCCTGCCTGGCCTGCATGACCAAGGACAGGCAGAGGTGGGTAAGCCAGGCTCTGGAGAAGCTCAGGGAGTGGGGAGACCGAGGCCAACCTCTCAAGTTGCTCAGTGATGGACAGTGAGAGGGAGCAGTCAGAGGTGCAAGGGAGGTTCCAAGGTCTTGACCTTTGGTCCCGAAAGGAAGGTGGCCTGACCTCTGACTGGGAAAGGTGACAGCCCGCCTCCCCTGCCACAGTCCAGGCTCTTGTAGCCTGAGAATGCCCCCAACCCCCAGTAAACCCAGCAGACTTGGGGACAAGAGGATGACAGCTCACATACCCCAGAGACTTCTTCCTTCTAGAAGAGGCTATTCTGGAAAAAAACATACCCCTCTAACTCTAACCGGAGCAGTCAGCTAGTGTCAGCTATTCACTCATTAGAGTGAATAAGAGTGACAATGAGGTATGGAAAGGGGGAGGGCTGCAGAGGGCCCAGAGCATTGGCATAGACGGGGGGGATGTACTATGCAAGAAGGGGAGCCACAAACTACAGATGACATTAAATGGGCTGCTGTGCTTCCCTTCCATCCCAGAGAGGCAGACCTCGCCCACCTCTGCCCAGGCACCCCCCCAGCATTCCTTCTTACTACTCTCTGGCTCCCCAAGCCATGCCCAGTGAAAGGGTCTTCACAGTACAGGAGGGGCTCATGGCCAGGTCATATGACTTGGGTGAGAACCCTGGAGCCCATGGGCAGAGGCTGGGACCATGTGGGACCCCTGAGATGGAGCATGAAGAAGAGTGGAGTCCAGTGTTCTGGCCCTGAATGACTGAGTGCTGGGGATGGGGTCCAGGAAGCGCCAGCCATCTGGAGGCCTCTGGGCCGTGTGACCATGCAGAAGCCCACCACTTGACCTGCCTTCTCTCTCCTCTGGTTGGGCCAGTGCCACTAGGGGTGACTCACAGTCACTCTGTCAGTCCGAGAGCCATGATGCAGGGACTCCCCAGCCAGCAGCATTTTTCTGCACAGATGGCCTGGCTCAGCTACCTCCTGGCCTGAGAGCCTGGATCCCCCTCCTGTCCTATGGAATTCTGGGCTTGTCTGAGATGCCCCAGCGCTGGTAGCTGGGACTGCATCCAGCAAGGGGTGACGATAACCATGGCTACTGCTTCTCAGGCATCTGGGCCAGGAAGTCACCCCAGGTGGAGTCCTGGCTTCTCTGTGCCCTGGCTGGCATCTCAGCTGTAAGGCTTGGAGTTAAAACACCCTTCCCATCTGATCACCTCACAAAATCCTTGGGCCCCAGGGCCCCATTCAGGGTTAGTGAGGACAGTGCTGTCTTGGATGGCCAGCTTGGCAAAGCCTGTCACCTCTAAACCCCAGTATCCTTGTCTGTAAGATGCGGGTATAAAGGCCTGCCTGCCTCCCACCCTACCTCTCTCTTGGACCTGTATTTGGAGATAGGAACTTTTTGGTGAGAGCTAATCCTGGTCTCTGTCTTCCTTCCCACATTTCCTGCTCCCAGCCACAGAGGAGCATGGGCGACTTTCTCAGGAGACCAGGGAGCAGTCTGGGGCCTGATTCCATCTCACCTGCAACAGTGGCTGTGGCCAAGTTTGAGGACAGAGATGCAAAGTGTGCCTCTTGTCTTCTCCATTCCCTACCAGTCTGGAGAAGCCCCTGGGGTTCTGATCCTGTGTGGAAAACACTCAGGGAAATCCTGGAGTCTACCCAGAAAAGGCAAAGATCCACACCAAAAAAATGTCTTCCCATTAAAGGTACTGGGAGACATGTTGACCCAGGTCAGATCAGTTGGGCCGGTCATCTGTATCCCTGGAGAGAACAGCGGAGGGGACATGGTGGCCTTTAGCTGGCAGGTCAGGTTTGAGTGGCTGCATTATCTTTGTGTCCATTTTTCTCATCCGTAGGGTGGGGTGTGGACCATGCTGTCCTCCCAGGGGTAGCAGGCAGGGTGTGCTGAGGCCTCTCCTGGGGTGGGGGCTTTGGGAAGCTCTGAGACCATCCAGGCAGGAAGAGCCAGGGCTTCAGAGGCAGTGGGGTTGGGTTTGGATTCTGATTCTTGATTCAGATTCTAACTTGGCCACTGGCCAGCCCCGACACCTGTACATATCCCTGACCCTGCCCTGGTGTCAAGCAATGAATGGGAATCTTCAGTCCTTTGAGGGGGTGGCTGTGAATTCAGTGTCAGTCCAGAAAGCCAAGGGTGGGCTCGTGGTCCACCCCTGGGAGCATCTTTCGGGGTAGCGGAGCGATCCCTGGGGCTGGGGGCACCTGGCAGCGTTGAGCCCCTCCCCTCCTTGTATGCAGTACTGTGTCCCTGACAATTCTTTTTGTTTTCCAGCTGGGTGCATATGTAGACGGTTCTGTGCAGGTTCTGTTTTCAACTCTCCAGGGCACTCTGGTACCTAAATCATCTTTGTTGCTTTTCCTTAGCTCTTCTTTCTGGGGACAAGATGGCCCAAGTAAGGACCAGCTCCCAGCTACCCTTCCAAGTTTTCAGTGGACACAGTGTTCTTCCAGGGAAGGTTGGTAACTGATACTGAGACCACCACACCCCATCTGTGCACTGGCAGATACCACGAATCAACCACAGTACAGTGGTCTTAGAATCTCAGCACAGTGGACTCAGGAGCTATCACTAGTCGATCAAGATGAAACCAATTAGTTGCCCCTGCTCAGAAGCCAGTGTCTGGCTGACCAACTGCTCACAGCCACGACCTTTGGCCCCTTATGTGTGCTGTTGCCTACGGCTCAGGCCCATTAGCCAGGGCCTGTGCGAGGGCCCGTGGTCCTGCGCTGAGGATGTGGTGGGAGCTCGAGCCCTTGACACTCTTGTGCATGATAACCATGTTGCCACTGGCCTCACACTCTGCTCCATGCCTGTGGAAGAGGCCTCGGACGGTGGCCTGGAAGCCGCTGGTGACGAAGCAGTAGACGATGGGGTCCATGCAGCTGTTGAGGCTGCTGAGGGTCACAGCCACATGGTAGATCACGAGGCTTGTGTGGCGAGGCAGGCCGGGCCATAGGGCCTCGGCCACCTGGCGGGCATGGAAGGGTGTGAAACACACCAGGAAGATCACGAGCACCGTGAGTAGCAATTGCATGGCCCGCATACGGCGCTGGCGGCCCTGGCGCAGCAGGCCAGGTCGCGACAGTGCACACACAATGCGGCCCGTGAACACGCTGATGACCATCAGGGGCAGCAGGAACTCCAGGACAGTCAGGGCGAAGACATGGCAACAAGGTTGCCCGCCCGTCGTCACTCCCAGCACAGACAGGGTCACAGTGCCGGCTGCCAGCCACACAAAGGTGCACATGGCCCTGGCACAAGCTGGCTGGCGCCAGCGGCGAGAGCCATCAGGCTGCACAATGGCCAGGTAGCGGTCCACACAGATACAGGTAAGGAAGAGGATGGAGCAGTGCATGTTGAGGAAGTAGCCAAAGACGTGGGGGAAGGCGCAGCGGAGGCAACCACGTGCACTGTAGAAGACCACAAAGCGTGTGGGCAGCGACAGACCCACCAGCAGGTCGGTGACCACCAAGTTGATGGTATAGATGACCGATGGTGTCTTGGCGTGGGTGCGACAGCAGAATACGTACAGCGCCAGTCCGTTGAGCACCAGCCCCACCAGGAAGATGACGCTGTGCAAGACCATCAGTGCCAGCCAGAGGCCCGGGAAGGTGCTGTGCAGCTCCTCGTCCAGCTGGGCGAACATGTGGAACAGGGCCTTCTCCGGCGCGCTGGCATTGGTCCATGCCGCCGCCACGGTGGCGTTGGGGGCAGCCACAGCCCAGGGGTCTGCTGGAGACTCAGAGGGCATGGTGTTGCCGTGTGCCCCAGGCCTAGGAAAAAGGAGGAGACAGGGCTATCCATGGAGCCAGCGCAGGATCTGGCTCTGCTCGGGGCCAGGGTCTCGTCGGATTCATCTGCTGTGTTCCCCAGCAGCCCCATCCCGGTGCCTTTGCCTCCCCTAGCTGACCCTACTCTCTCCACCCCTCGGCCCTGGCACTCACAGGGTACACCTTTGGCCAGTGCTAAAACTTCTGAGACTCCCTGCTGGACAGCTGGATGCACTAGCTCCTGAAGCCTGAGGACAAGCGCGGGATGACAGCCCAAGTGGGTGGATTTGGGGCCTGCCTCCATTCCTGGCTCTTCTGCTTAATCACCATGCGTCTCCTGGCAAGTCACTTAACTGCTCTGTACCTTGTTTGCTAATCTATTTTTTGGGAGAGTTTTGAGACAGGATCTTGCTAGGTACTTCAGGCTGTCCTTGAATGCACTAGTATCCCAGACTGGCCTTGAACTTACAACAATCCTCCTGCTTCAGCCTCTGAGTTCTGGGATTACAGGCTGCATCAACCCACCTGACTCGTGTTTGCTAATCTAGATCATTGGGATCCCCTTGCTGTTGGGAGGATTAACGGGGCAGGCCTGGATCAGGGGCAAGGTAGCACCTGACATGTATGTAGGTGGTGGTGCCTAAGCCAATTATGCTGGGAAGAGCGGCTCACCAAGACCTCCAAGCTGTCTGCCCCATCTCTGTCCCTCCCATAGCATCACACCTCTGTCACCTAGCCACCTGTCTGTTCTCACCTACTCCTAGGCCACCCAGGTCCATACCCTGAACCTTTTCAAGGGGTTGGTATGCTTAGCAGGGACAGATAGGGGCTGATATCTAGTCCCCAGTTCCCGGGTCCCTGCTAGCTATGGCAGACTGTCTTTCCAGCCCTGGGTGGTTTGTTGGGGCCGGATCCTGAAGTCAGGTCGAAGCAGCAGGCAGCTAGTGTGAGTCAAATAAACAGTGTGCTCTTAGCGGGGGCGGTGGGGACCAGGGCAGGCAGGGGCTGGGCTGGAGCTGCCCACTCTGTTTATGTTTCTGCCGCGGAGTGTTTAACTCAGCTCTGATTTATCCCTTTATTTATAAATGAAGGGTTAATGGGGACCCTACCCCCACCACAAGCTTGCCTGACCCTCCAAATAAGGATATTTCTGGCCCTTTCAGGAGAAAGGAAAAACTTCTGGAGGGAGGCAGGGAGAAGGAGTGGGCATATGGGACATCCAGGGTGCCCAGTGCCCCTACCCACCTACAAGAGAAAAGAAGACCCTCCCCACTATCTCACTTCCTGGGTCCCTCCTGGTGGCTGTTGCTGTAAATAGGCTGGACACTGCCCACTCCCAGGAACTGGCTGCAGGGCCCTGGGAAGCAGGTCTGCCATTCCATCCTGGGGGAACAAGAGGCTGTGTCTTGCCTCTCAGGGGACTGGGGACCAATGGCCAGCCTAGTAGCAGTAAAGGAATGCTTGAAGAGGGTATGGTCTGGCAGGATGCACGGCCACCTTACCCTCAGGCTTAGGGAAGTCGGCACCTAGCTGAGGTCACCCAGCATGCTCTCTGCCTCTGGACATCTACCATCCTGGGCTGCTGGGAGAAATCTGGGCTGCCCATGCCTGCCTCCTGCCCTGCTGCTGTCCCTACACATGCGGTGGGCTCTGAAGGACTGGGAGTTTGTGGTAGGAACAGATATTCTGCAGGTGTGGGTGTGGTACCTCAGTGCTATGGGCTTGACCTCCTGTAGCAGGGAGGCCGGAGGGTCCCAGGAAGGAGAGGGGACCCTGCAGCGTGTCTGCCGTAGCATGACATGTCTGCTGCTAGCGTGAGGGACGCCATGGCAACAGGGCCATGGCGATACTCTTCTACATGCCTTTTGGCCTTCCAATTTGTCTGCACTGGGCCTGAATTAGTGTCACAATCAGAGACAAATAAACATCACTGATGTTTCCTCTGGGAGCCAGTCCCAGGATGACGCGGGCTTAGGGTCCTGCTCTCCCAGGAAACTCCCCAGGGCCAGCCTCACTTGCTACCCAGCAGTGTCACTGAGAGGCTGGGGACACCAGCCAGGGCCAAGGGACCTCCAGGACCTGGGGATAAGTCACATTCAGACTCCCCAGAGGCAGACAGGTGAGGGGAGAGAGAGAGAGAGGGCAAAGCACGCATGTTGATTCAGAGCAGGAACCCAGACTGCACACAGAGCTAAGCTCTGATCTTGGTGGCATGGAGCCATGATCCCAGTAACATGAGGAACCTCCATCCCTGTCACACTCTGAGCCCTGACCTGATCATGCACTGAGCCGTGGACCTAGTCACACCCAGAATCCTGGCCCTGGTTGCATGTGGGTGCGGGTTTTGGACTCGGTGCCAGGCTGAGTTCAGGGGGCTTCGCCACCTCAGGCCTTCTCTGCCTGTCTCCTCTTGGGCACTTCCCTGCAGTGGGCATGGGGACTCAATGAGGACTTAGAGGGAGTGCCCTGAGGTGGGGAATGACAGTGCAGCCGTCCAGAGTCTAGCTCCCAGTCTGCGTTGTCGCTCTGTGGCAGAGCACTTGCCTAGCATGTGCGAAGACCCCTGGCTTCCTTTCCCAGCACTGCAAAACAACAAACCTCAGCTCTGTCCCAGACTGCCCCATCCAATCCCGTGTGAGCCTAAGTCTCCACACCTGTAAAATGGACAAAGTAGACTGTGCCAAGGGATTCACTGGTGCATGGTGAAGCACATAGGAGGGGCTCAGAAACGGGATACCAGACAGTGAGGAGATGGCTGCAGGCTGAGAGGACAGAGCTTGAGGGCTGAGTTCTGCGCCACTTCAGGCAGAGACCTGGGTGGGCCCAGTGGGATGGCAGCTTCCAGCCAGGTCTGGGCTTGCCGGCACCCTTCCTTGGCCCCTGGAGCCACTGATGCTGTCTGGCCTTGGCCTGATTCTCCTGGAGACTTGGTCCCTTCTCTTGGCTAAGAACATCGGATCCTACTGCCCCACAGGGCTGTGGGGCCTCCATGGAGACCAAGGCCTGGGCATGTGCGGCTGGGTAGGCTGCTGGGCCCTGCCACCCTGCCTCACCCCACAGGGAAATCAGAGTCCCACAAACCACAGGCTTTCAAGCTTCTGGGTCCCTGTAGGAGGCTGTGAGGATGAAAGGTGGTGCTCCGCACACCCTAGGTCCTATAGCAGTCTTCAGGGCGAGCACTGGGGTAGGACTCTGGGTCGCCCCTCTGGAGCACCGTGTGTCCCCACTTCCATGCCTCTGCCCAGGCTACTCCTTCCCCCCATATTCCTGGTTGGCTCCTTCCAGTTTCACTCTGACCCCTGCTCACCCCAGGAGGCCTTCCTTGTCCTCCCTGGAGTGCTGGTTGCCTCTCCCTGCTGCCCTCCCCAGATCACCTTCACTTCTCCCGCCTCAGGGCAGCCCCCTGCTGTTGGTACTGCCCCTCTCTGTGGAGTAAAGTTGTCTGTGATGGCTTGCACCCATAATCCCAAGCTCTCAGGGGGCTGAGGTTGGAGAATTGCTGAGTGAGGACAGCCCCAGCTGTCTCATTAACTGAAGGCCAACCTGAGCTGCCTAGTGAGATTGTCTCAAAAATTTTTTTTTTCTTTTCAAAGAGTGTGGGCATCCAGGGCTGGGGCATGGGGTGGGTGGGCTCTGGCCTGTTCCTCCCTTTCTTCTCCCTAGTCATTTGGCCCTGTGGCCTAGAGTCATCCAGCAACCTAAGTGAAACCCCCCAAAGCTACCCGGGGGAGGCTCAGTTTCTCACCCTGGCAATGGTATGAGTAACTTAGCCCCAGCCCCTTCTTGGCCCTCCCAGTCTCCCAAAGCTGAGGCAGGGGTCTGGAATTGGCTTCTGCCACTCAGCTGCATCCTTATGGCCCACCTGATTGTGTTTGCAGGAGAGAAGAAGACCCTCCCTATTGTCTCACTTCCTGTGTCCCTTCTGGTGGCTGTTGCCATAAATAGGTGGGACACTGCCCACTCTCAGGAACTGGCTGCAGGGCCCTGGGAAGCAGGTCTGCCATTCCATCCTGGGGGAACAAGAGACTGTGTCTTGCCTCTCAGGGGACTGGGGACCAATGGCCAGCCTAGTAGCAGTAAAGGAATGCTTGAGGAGGGTATGGTCTGGCAGGACGCACGGCCACCTTACCCTCAGGCCCAGAGAGGTCGGCACCTAGCTGAGGTCACCCAGCATGCTCTCTGCCTCTGGACATCTACCATCCTGGGCTGCTGGGAGAAATCTGGGCTGCCCATGCCTGCC